GTTAGGGGTATTAGAACTAAAATGCAAAATTTAATGCAGTCTGTGTTTGCAACAAATTACGACGTTATTTGTCTTACAGAAACATGGTTAAACCAGGATATTTCTTCAAGTGAATTACAAATTAGTAGTAATTACAACGTGTACAGGCAGGATCGTAATATCCTAGCTAGTAACTTAAAACGTGGATGGTGGTGTACTTATCGCGGTGAATAAAACATTGATGTCTAAATTGATCTCAACCACTGTCGATAATGTTGAGCATATTTTCGTATTGGTTATGTTTCTCGGTAAATGTTACATCATAGGTAATGTGTATATTCCACCCAATTCACATTCAGACGTTTACGACTTACACTGTACTGCAACTGAAAATGTTCTTAATCGGTATCCCGACCACGTGCTAATTTTGTGTGGCGATTACAATTTACCCAATATCAAGTGGATCAACGACCAATATGGTCTTCATGCAACGGGCCAATTAAATGAATCAGGAACTATAGTAGCTGATCATTTTGCCTATCTAAATTTATATCAAGTAAATAACGTGCGCAATGATTACAATGTAATTCTAGATTTAGTGTTTACAAATGACTTTAGCTTGGTTACACACACAGCAGAGGATTTCTTACTTCCAATTGATCATTATCATCCCCCTATCAGTCTAATAGTTGAATCATGTCAACTTGGTGCTGATGAGCTGAAAGCTGATTATTTTTATTATGATTTTAAAAACTGTGATTTTGCAAACCTGAATTTGCACCTTTCGCTAGTGAATTGGGATTTATTGTTTTCCAGCTGTGATATGAATGTTTGTGTACAGTCTTTTTATGAACTACTGCATCATTTTTTTGAACTATATGTACCTAGAAGGAAAAGTGCCACTTCTAAGTTTCCTAAATGGTTTTCACGTCATGTAAAAGAACTTCTTGTGCAGAAAAAGGTTGCTCATAAAAAATATAAACAAACGCGCCTGTCTGGTGATTATTTAATATTTAGTGGTTTACGAACTAAATGCAATAAACTCATAAACGAGTGCTACAGTGACTATATTAATGTTACCGAAAATAATATTCACACAGACCCTAAATATTTCTGGACATTTGTACATGACTCTAAACGAAGCCATTCCTTACCTAACAGTATGTGTTACAATGGTAGTGTTACAGATAATCCGTGCTTAATTGCAAATTTCTTTGCCAATTTCTTTGCTTCGGTGTATCCAAATGTGCGTGATACTTGTGTACCTGATTTTCAATATGTTAAGACTGTACATTTAAATACTTTAACTGTCTCTGCAAATGATGTTTTCACAAAACTTGAACAATTGAATACTAAAAAAGGTGTCGGCCCAGATGGAGTACCACCACTAATCTTAAAAGAGTGCCGTTTTACTTTGGCAAAACCATTGCTGTTCCTTTATTCGCTATCACTTAAATCTGGATACTTTCCTATACAATGGAAAGAAAGTTTTTTAATACCATTACACAAAGCGGGAGATAGGGATTTAGTGCAAAATTACAGGCCAATATCAAGAATTTCACAAATACCAAAGATTTTTGAAAAAATCGTTTCTGATAAAGTTACACCCATTTTAAATTGTTTATTGACCGATCACCAGCACGGTTTTGTGAAACATAGATCAACACAAACCAACTTAATAACGTACAAACACCACTTACTCAATGCCATGGAAAATCGTATACAAGTGGATGCCATTTACACGGACTTTACTAAAGCATTCGATAGGGTGTCTCACAAAATTTTGCTTGCCAAACTGGATGCAATGGGGGTGTCTGGTAATTTTAATGTATGGCTTTCTAGCTACTTATCCGAACGAACACAAACTGTATTGATACAAAATCATTTTAAATCTAAAAAAATCAAAATTACATCTGGTTTACCTCAAGGTGGTCATTTGTCTCCAGTTTTATTTAATTGTTTTATTAATGATGTATGTGATTTGGTAATACACTGTAAATACCTTTTGTTCGCTGATGATCTTAAAATGTATACTGAAATCAAATCAGTGCAAGATTGCCTTAATATGCAGCTTGACCTTGATAACTTGGAGAAGTGGTGTAAATTGAATGAAATGGAGTTAAATGTAGGTAAATGCAAATCCATCAGCTTTTACAGAATAAAAAATCCAATTAAATTCAATTACTGCCTAGGGCAAAAGGTACTCGAAAATGTGACATTAATTAAAGATCTAGGTGTTCATTTTGATTGCGAACTTACATTTACTGATCACATCAATATTACTGTTAATAGAGCACTAAAGATGTTAGGGTTTGTGAAAAGGTCGTGTGGAATGCTTAAGCGGGTGTCTTGCATTAAAGCTGTTTACATAGCTTTTGTCCGTAGCATTCTAGAATATTGTTCAATTGTCTGGTCACCATATTATGTAACTCACTCTGTCAGACTAGAAAAAGTACAAAATAAGCTGTTAAGATTCTTGGCATACAAATTAGGAGTTAATGTTGATAGCATAGACTACTCACTAATTAGGGTCATGGTAAACATCAAACCATTAAATCTTCGTCGACAAGCATCTGAGCAGATCTTCTTGTTTAAATTATTAAATGGAGAAGTTCATGCTAGTGAACTACTAGGTACACAGTCTAAATTTTCTGGCAGCCATCAAAAGAACTAGCAGCAAGAAATTATTTTACATTAATATGCATAGAACTAATTACGCCATGTTTACACCAGTTGATAAGATTTGCTCAGATGCAAACGGACTTAATATTAACATGTTTAGTGTACCATTTTCGAAGTTCCGGAGAGAACTGGAACATAAATTGTATGGTTAAGTTATTTGTAATTTTTATAATGGATACTGTCCGTCAAATATATATTATTATTATTATTATTAGTTTAGTTTAAGTGGAACTTATATTTACTGCTAGTATCTGTCAGAATTTCGCGCGTTACTATAGCAATCATGCGTCACCGTAACTATATCTTTGAATACCACTAAGTACGCGCTAAGTATGAGTAAAGTGTAAGTGTAACTTAAGTAATATCTATGAATTCCACCCTAAGTGTTTAGTATCACTCTAGGTATCACTGGTTTTGAAATTTTTTTTCTCTATCGAGTGATGTAAAAATCCAATATGGCGTCCATTTAAAATAAGAAAGTTGAAGTCAATACCAGCGTCAATATCTCGAAAACAAGTATGCCTCGTGTCATCATAAAACGGGAAGACTTACATCTTCAAGTGTTACTCACTGCCTTTGGTTCTTCCAAATAGAACGTTTATTTCCAGAAGAGTGGAAAGGGTAACGGCTTTACTACGCTGAATTCCCACTCGTTCAAATACGAACTACCTACTTGATATTTTTTTTCTACATGCGATAAGTGGATGTGACACCATCTCACCACCCTTTCGTATTGGAAAGAAGAAGGTAACTCAGACCTATAGCAAGAACCCTAGCTTTTCAGGGATGTTGTTGACCACGAGGCAGCTCCAACTCAAATCGTTTGTGTTGAGAGCAAAATTACTTGTGAAACTGTATGGAGGGATCATCGAACTTGACAACATTGAAGATCTGAGGTATTTTATTTGATACACAGTCGTGGTAAAGTCGATATGTCGACTTGCGAGACTGCCACCAACCCAGGACAGCGCCAGGGTGGGTGGGAAACCAGGGAGCCATCAGAAGTTACCTTCTGCATGGAGATTACCAAACGAGGTGGATATATTTATTTTCAGAGCACAGGAAACAAGTGCCTGTAAATAAATTGTATGCTCTATTACTGATCTACTAGTACATTATGTGAGAGTTTCTTAAAATGCATTTCCTACATTAAAATGAGGCATTTTCAATTAGAGGAGTGGGGTGGCGGGTGTCTCATAGGTGTTCGAAAATGAGTGAGATGGTAATAAACAGTTAGAGACCCAAAAGGATTTCTATTTTCTTGGTAGATGATTAATGGAAAGGACGCTCCATTCTGCAGAATTCTGCAATCTTCCAGACGATCCAATCGCCCTTTGTGAGTACCCTCTTCCAACAATTTCGATAAGAATTGAGGAGGAGGACTATGGTTAGTAGAAATTAATTCCTTCCGTTGAGACTCTTTTTATTAGAGTATCATGAAGGATAAAACCAGTTCCACTTTTGATAAGGGGCTAGAAAGAAGTTGGGAGAAAACGGTAGCCACGCAGGAAAGTTGTAGTTTGTATAAAGTAATTAATTTCGGTGAGACCTTTCATTAGAAGACCATGAAGGATAGAACGGACTTTCTTCTAGGATTCTTCTTCCCTGCCAGTTTGGGCACAGTTTGATTATACTATATTATAGCTACGACTAATTGGTCCTCATTTTTCGATGGCTAGACCATATCTTTAGGTATTTCTTACAACCCGCGTTACAAAGCAATGAAACGCATAATTTTCTTCTTGCTCCAGTTACGCAGTTCTTGTAAGTTTAGTGTTAAATGTTCAAATTTAAATCAAATGCCATAAAGGTGTATTATATCGGAATATTATAGACGAACAAAGACACGGGGGAAAATGCGTTCAGGATTTCTTTGTCAACATTTATAAACAGACGTCCCACATAATAGCCACATCCCTTATCCTTAGGATAAATTGAACAACGCCATTATGCTAATGTCATGTGGAACAATGAACAATTCAATCGTCTCACATTTCGTAGAGTAAAAAATCAAAGAAATAGGACTAAGGCACGCGTGTAAAAAGCGGATCGAGTTGTAAATAGCCGAATCATCGAGTACATTTTCTAAATTACAAAAAAAACTGCAGTTGCATTCAAATTAATAGTGTGATATTTTTACAGAGAGTTATTCACAATAGTCCAACCTTGAATTCCTTGTAATAAACCATACTTGACAACGTTTGTAGATATTAAAGTTCCTGGCCATAGAGGAGTATGTAGCAATACCTATCACTACGCTTCTAATTGTGCGATTGTCTAATAAAAAGGATATCGTTGCGATAAAACTTATCAATGAATATAATGTGATGTCAAATTTGATTAAGTTACTTGTTGAAAATGCTTCGAATAGATCTGCTGCTGGTCCTAACGATTGGTGTAGCCATAAGAGCAGCTCCGTACGTCATCGAAGCGCCAACCGAAGGCGACCAAAATTGGTGGAAAAATGCGCTATTTTATCAGGTATATCCTCGCTCATTTAAAGACAGTGATGGGGACGGGATAGGAGATCTCGAAGGTATTCGTAGTAAACTACATCATTTGAAAGACGCGGGGGTTACCGGCGTCTGGTTTTCTCCAATTTATCAATCGCCGCAGAAAGATCTCGGGTATGATATTTCAAATTATACAGCAATCGACGGCAGGTACGGTACGATGCAAGATTTTGAAAATCTGTTAAAGGACGCTCATGCTATGGGCATTAGAGTTATAATGGATTTTGTTCCAAACCATTCCAGTGATCAGCATGAATGGTTCCAAAAGTCTATTAAAAAGGAAATCCCGTACCGTGATTATTACGTGTGGAAGGATGGCGTTAACGGTAAACCACCAAACAACTGGGTACGTTAGTAAACTCATATTGAAAACCTTCTCAAGTATCTTTTAGATAAGTGTATTTAAAGGATCGGCTTGGACTTTCAATGAGGAGCGTGGTCAATATTATCTTCATCAGTTTTCCGCGGAACAACCTGACCTCAACTATAACAATCCACAGTTAGTAGCAGAAATGAAGGTAAAATCTTCTACACTCAAAACGTAAGCCATACTGATTTCGTATTTAGAAAGTCTTAAAGTTTTGGATGGATAAAGGTGTTGACGGTTTTCGATTTGACGCAGTCCCTTACATTTGGGAAGATCTCGAGTTTAAAGATGAACCTGTTGCTAATGCAGCTCTTAGTCCAAATGACTTTGATTACCTCGATCACATTTATACGAAAGACCGGCCTGAAACATTCGATGTAATTTATGAATGGAGACAATACATAGATGACTATATGAGTACCTACGGTGGTGACGCACGGTATTAACATGGCGCCATTAATGCAATTCTTTGAGCAAAATTTTTTAGAGTAATCATGACGGAGGCGTATTCTGATATTGAAAGCACAATGAAGTACTACGGTAACGGTGATAAAAAGGGAGCTCAGATCACCTTCAACTTCCAGTTGATTTCAAAAGTTCGCAAAGAATCAACAGCAAAAGACATAGTACTTACAATTAAGGAATGGTTTGCGTATATGCCTCCACAATATACCCCTAACTGGGTGGTAAGTTAGGAGCTGCTTTGCAAATTTAGCACTCATCCCCCAGAGTTTAGATTGGTAATCATGATAACCACCGAGTTGCCACGCGTTTTGGTCCGGAATTGGTGGACGCAATGAACATGCTAGTCGCTCTCCTTCCCGGAGTAATGGTCACATACAACGGAGAAGAAATTGGGCAGGAAGACGGCGAGGTCACTTTTGCCCAGGGGCAAGACCCGACGGCGTGCGGTTCCCAAGAAGATTTCAAAACTCTTAGCCGAGACTTTGAACGCACACCTTTTCAGTGGAGTGATTCGAAAAACGGAGGATTTAGTGACGGCGACACGACCTGGCTACCCGTCAGTATCAAATACAAGCAAACTAACCTCGCAGCTCAAAATGTATCTGGCGTTTTAAGTCACTATAATATTTACAAGCAGTTGGTCAAGCTAAGACAAGAACCTGAATTTTTGACAGGCTCGTTCAAAATAATAGCTTTGTCCGACAAGGTGCTCGCATTTACGAGAAGCAGCGAGCAAGCGTCCTATCTCGTTCTGATCAACATTTCAGGTGACGAAGAAGAACTGGATCTCACCCCGTTCACAGAACTTACCAAGTATGTGACAGTTGTTGTAAAAAGCTCTAACTCGGATAAAAAATACAGGTAAACCAAGTTAGTAGGCAAGATTTCACCTAATCTGCTCTTTTACAGTTCGTTATCCACCGAAAAGCTTCCTTTGAAGCCTTACGAAGCAATCGTTGCTAAGTCACCTCCTGACGTCAACTCAGACTGGTGGAAACACGCCCTGTTCTATCAGATTTATCCAAGATCTTTTAAGGACGACAATAATGATGGAATCGGTGATTTAAAGGGAATAACGGGCAAACTGGAGCATCTCAAAAATGCTGGCGTAACGGCCGCTTGGCTGTCGCCAATTTTCCAATCTCCGCAAGTTGATCAAGGGTACGACATTAGCGATTACACTAAAATCGACGAACCGTACGGAACTATGGACGATTTCGACGCGTTGGTGCAGAAAGCGCACGACCTCGGTCTGAAAATCATATTGGATTTCGTTCCCAATCATTCCAGTAACAAACACGAATGGTTCATAGAATCAGAGAAAAGGACACCAGGATACGAAAATTTCTACGTTTGGAGAGATGGCAAAGACGGTTCCACTACAATCCCTCCAAATAATTGGGTACTTTTACCTAATTTTTAGACAACTATTTAATGATTACGTTACAGTTGAGTATATTTTCAAAATCTGCTTGGACATACAGTACAGTACGAAAACAGTTTTATTTGCATCAGTTCGCTGAACAGCAACCAGATTTAAATTACCGAGACTCAAATGTGGTAGAAAAGATGAAGGTAGTAGCTAAATATATTAAAATGCGTTGTACCGTTTTTAACGCATTTTAGGATGTTATGAAGTTTTGGCTAGACAAAGGTGTGGATGGTTTTCGCATTGATGCTATACCATATCTTTTCGAAGACGATAGATTTTTAGATGAACCTCTTTCTAATGCCCCCGGAGTTCCTTCAGATAACCACAAGTATTTAAACCATCCATACACAAGTGACCAACCCGAGACCTTCGACATGGTGCAACAATGGAGACAGTTGGTGGATACGTACACGCAGGAGCACGGAGGAGACGCAAGGTACATCCTCACGCGTTACTATCACCTTATTTGAATGTTTTAGGGTAATCATGACGGAAGCGTACACCGATATAAACAATACTATGAGATATTACGGAGAAGGTGATAAGAACGGGGCACACTTCACCTTTAACTTCCAATTCGTAAGTTACTTAAAGAAAGAGTCGACAGCAAATGATATCCTAAACATAATAAACGAATGGCTCGATAAGATGCCGGCAAAATACACTTCCAACTGGGTTGTAAGTACATCTGTACAAAATAAAAACACCCGTTCAAATAATACCCTTCCAGCTGGGAAATCACGATAACACCCGGATTGCGACCAAGTATGGCCCGGAGAGGGTAGACGGTATGAATATGTTAATCGCTGGTCTTCCTGGAGTAATGGTAACCTATAACGGGGAAGAAATAGGCCAAGAAAACGGGGAAGTTAGCTGGGAGCAAGGCCAAGATCCTAGTGCTTGCATTGCAAATAAGGAAGACTTCCAAAGTATAAGCAGGGATTTCGAACGCACACCATTCCAATGGGACGATACCGTAAATGCAGGATTTAATAAAGGAAAAGCACCATGGCTACCCGTCAGCAATAAATACAAGGAAACTAATTTAAAAGCCCAAAGTATTCCAGGCGTTAAAAGTCATTTCCACGTTTACCAAGAACTAGTAGAGCTACGACGTGAGTCCGCTTTTACCGATGGTGCATTCAAAAGAGCAGCTCTTTCTGAAAACGTCTTGGCATACACACGTGGGCTAGAAAATGGCCCAGTATACCTGGTGGTCATAAACATTGCCAATGTGTCAGAGAGGGTAGACATCTCCAGATTCGAAGGAGTTAAAACAAATGTAAAAGTACTCATTTCCAACATTCAATCTAACAAATACGGCAGGTAATTAACGCGTTATAATTCACATATACCATTTATTGTCTGCAGAGTTCTTCAATCAAAAGACATAAATCTATCGCCTTACGAAGCATTCGTCGCCAAAGTACTTCCCGACGTACAAAAGGGCGACATGGATTGGTGGAAACATGCAGTCTTCTACCAAATTTACCCAAGGTCGTTTAAAGATAGCAATAATGACGGAATTGGGGACTTGAAGGGGATAATTAGCAAACTGGACCATTTAAAAGACGCCGGAATTACGGCCACCTGGCTCTCCCCGATATACAAATCTCCGCAAGTTGACCAAGGTTATGACATTAGCGACTTCATGGACTTAGATGAGAATTACGGTACATTAGATGACTTCCGAGAGTTGGTGCAAAAGGCTCACTCTATGGGAATAAAAATTATAATGGATTTTGTACCTAACCATTCCAGTAACAAACATGAGTGGTTTATCAAATCGGAAAATAATGTTCCTGGCTTTGAAGACTTTTACGTGTGGAGAGAAGGAAAATCGCCCACTTCTCCACCAAACAACTGGGTAAGATAAAGCGCTTGCCTTCTCGAGAATTAACAAAAATTGTAGCTATCAAGTTTCAAGTATTCGGCGTGGGAATATAGCGCAAAACGTAAGCAATATTATCTCCACCAGTTTGCTAAGGAGCAGCCAGATTTGAACTACTCAAATCCGGTGGTAGTGCAAAACATGAAGGTAACTAGGAAACTTACATGGTCTACAACTACTTACATGAATTTTGGTAGAATGTGCTGAAGTTTTGGTTAGATCGTGATGTTGACGGTTTCCGCATGGACGCCGTTCCCACGTTATTTGAAGATGAAGCATTTCGAGACGAACCGCCGTCTAACGCAACGGGGGTTTCTTCTGTCGAATGGGCTTCTCTCGACCATATTTACACGATAAATATGCCTAAAACGTACGACATGATTTATCAATGGCGCGATTTAATGGATGACTACGTAGAAGAATATGGAGGTGATGCCAGGTAAAGACTCAAAATAATTTGCCGAATAAACCGCTTGGTTTCTTTAGGGTTATGATGACGGAAGTGTACACTACTACATCAAAAACAATGGAATATTACGGAAATGGACAAAGACTCGGTGCTCACTTCTCGTTCAACTTCCACTTTATCACCAAAATCGACAAACAATCCAACGCTTCCGTTATAGTGTCGGTTATAGACGATTGGATCGATAACATGCTTCCCGATACAATTGCCAATTGGGTCGTAAGTCACAAACGTGTAGGATTCCCAACGGTTCATTGCTTGTTTCTGTTAGATCGGTAACCACGACAATCATCGCGCCGCCACAAGATTTGGGCCTGATAAAGTTGATGGTATGAATGCGCTCATTGCGGTTCTTCCAGGTGTTATGGTAACGTACAATGGCGAAGAAATTGGACAAGAAGATGGTGAGGTGACCTGGGAACAGGGCAAAGATCCTGGAGCTTGCAATGCACAAAAGGGAGATTTTAGCAAATTTAGCAGAGATTTCGAACGAACCCCATTCCAGTGGGATGACAGTGTTAATGCTGGTTTCAATGAGGGCGCAACTCCTTGGCTTCCAGTCGGTAGTAAATACAAAGAAACTAATTTAAAGGCTCAAAGTAACAACTCAGAAGTGAGCCATTATCAAATCTATAAGCGCTTGCTACAACTGAGAAATCAAGAAGTTGTACGCAGTGGCACATTAAAAGTTAAGCCTGTAGGCAATTTAATCGTATTAACCAGGACTTATCTTTCAAATGTATTGGTATTTATATTTAATGTTGGGGACCGGACCGAGACTGGTGATCTAAGTTCCGAGTTCAAGGGATTAACAGACTACTTAGAAGTGAACTTAGCCAGTTCACACTCTGATCAGGTTAACGGGTAAGGAAACACTTACACTACCCTATTTGTATTTATCCTTAATTATTGCAGCGCTCTGTTAAACACAAAAAAGTTGACGTTAAAAGCAAACGATTTCGTGATAGCGAAGCCAACATCGCGTAAACCAGATACGAGCTCGCCAGGTTCGGGAAATACAATCTTTTCAAGGATGGCGATCTTCATGGGAGTGTTGCATCTCTTATTAATGTTTAAACGTAATTGATTTAAGAGTTGTAATTTGATACTAGTACATATACTTCAATAAACTAATTTTTACCACCCGCATGACCCTCCACACAATCTCGTTGATGTCGGTGTGTCGGTCTGTACTCTGATTTCCAGCTAAGCGGCTTAACCGTTTGCAACTAAAAAGCTATTGGGCAGAATTGCGCATGCGCAGGTGCCCGAGTGGTTTCTGTGCCAACCACAGCAAATTTATACCTACTCTTGTGGAATCATTTCATTTGAAACATTTAAAATTTTCGGATTCCGATACTTCTTTTACGCTAACAATCTGTATACAAAGTACCAAAATGGTTGAACGTTATCGTGATCAATAATAATCTCGAAAAAGAAACTTTCCATAATTCCTTTCATTTTTTTTACTGAGAGAATTCGCTGAGTAGTGCACGCATTGCATTATACCGGATTGAGTGTCTTGCATAAGTACATTCGAAAGCAATAATATTGAATTAACGTGACATATAGAATGAGTCAAGGTGATTATAGATAACGAAAAATTATTGTCGAGATAAAGGTGCATCAAATCATACTCCGCACACCTGTTGTAGGTACTCGTTTTCGCTTATTGCAATCTGTTTCATTGCATACAAGATAATGCAGGATTACATTAACACTTTCGCAATCTCTACTCCACAAAATAAAGCTAGTGAGGTTAATTAATGACATTTAAAGTTCACTTCAAAATCTGTTTCTTTAAGCCTTGATCCCTATAAGGTGTAAACATTACTCGCATTTATTTTTCTGATCTACCCCAGATAACATTAAATATTTCTGTAAGATACCAAGAATATCCAAAAAGGTATATTTGAACATGTACCAAATATAGCTAGAATATATAGGTGCCTTGTAAGATATACTAGGAATATGCGAATGGGAAAATCTCAGATATTCAGAGAATAAACTTAAAATAATATTCTCCATTTATTCCTAGATCATGATACGTATATACCACTTGGGATATTCTGAGAATAAACTTACAGAATATTCTCAGTTTATTCTGAATATTCTTTGTAAACTGCATATAAGTCACTATATTTACGTTACAAGTGCGTAATTGACGACGTATATCAAAAATAATTTTTAATTCAAAATAAGCGTCAAACGAACTAGTTACCCAAAGGAGACATTTTGTGTATCGTAATTAAGATTTGAAATTGACACGTGATTGTGACAAAACGAATATTCCCCGTGCATCCAGGGAAGTTTACTTGGGAAGTGTAAGGATAAAAACCTCAAAGGAGTAGGAGGGGCAATAAAACAATATTATTTATTTATTTATTTATTAAAGAAACAGCTCTTAGTCTCTTAATAACCCCGTTAGAAAAAATACAAATTAGTAAATGGCGGATAAACCAGCTGAAATGGATAAATAATGAACCGATTCCTTCAACTTAACTGTCGTTGGACTTGTAGCTGGTAGATGGTTTTCCGGGTAATAAGATCTATCTTCGCACTTCTTCGTTAACAGGAATTGATTGCTGATGTTGGTCGTGTACTGTAGATACCAAATGTTCTCCTAAAATAGCGGTCTAAGGGTTACCAACACATTTTCGGACAAAATCTTAGTAAAAGGTAAATGTCAACGTGTTTCATTGCTCCGACACTCCTAACTAAGGGACTCCGTAGGTGAGCTGCTCAGTCTAGCCAGAGCCTATGAGGATAGGTAAAGTTAGAGATGAGAACGAAAGGAACGAAGTTGGGATGCTGAGGGGGATAAGTACTGCTCCAAAGCGCAAAAGGTAGAAAGATCCCGTTAAGCAACGGCTTTAACTTTTATAAAATTCAGCTATGCCATAGAGAGAACGACGGTTTTCCCAATCGACATAGCGTATTTTGTTATGAACGTACAAAAATTACAACTTCTTTAATTAATTGTGCGGCCTGCTGACGTCCCCAAAATCTGTACTAGATCGTAAAATTCAAATTAATCAAGAGCGCTTCTTTTGACACCTCACAGGACCAAGTAGAATAACGTTTACTGCAACAAATTTATTTAGCTACTTTAACTTTATTAATTAGGCGGATTTTAAAATCGGTAGTACAATAAGGCTCATTGTTGATTGGAATTCCCCGGTTCGGCATAAAGGTCGCTTCACAAAACTGATATCGGCGTAAATCTGCACGGCTATGCAGTGTTAACGCTCGTTTCAATTTACCATAGGACCTACCTACTAATAACGGCTTAACGTGACTGAAATTTTAAAATATTAATTTGCCCTGGTCTTCTAAATGACAAGAACTTTCGGACGCAACAAAAATAATTGAAATATCTTGACGAAAACGGTTGCAAACGACGGATTAATTGCCGCTTTATTTACAGTAGTGGCGGCGGCTGAAACACAACTCTAGAAATTAATACCTTTACCTTCTATTTTCAACTGCTAAATCCAAAACAAATTACGTTCAGCATGACACTTTTCGTAACGAAGCGTTCAACCGTTCAACTTAGAACGCTTCTAGATACCGTGTGTTCATCTATAGGTAAACGGATAACTTCAAGGCGGAAAACGGGTGCTTCGTTACAGCCACAGGGGATTCCTCAACTATTATTCAAAAGTGAGATTTCTAAGTTTACGCGTTGCATACCATATAAATTATACAGGGTGTCGAAATGTAGAGGGCCGATTTTCCAATGAATTATTTGACTAGTGCAATTAAGTTATTAAGCCGTGGTGGAAATGAAATCTGCCTTTTCTCCGTCGTTTAATTTCCGTAGAGCATTGTTTTATTAATGGATTCCGGCTGTCTAGAAACGAGATCTCGGGGGTTAGATCATATTCAGCTATCTTCATTAGTGCTATTTGGTAATAACTGTGAATTCGGCACGAGGCTAGTTTAGCATCGTGTAAACTATAGAGTAGAACATGTTGGTCGGATGGGGAATTTGATTTATGGATATGGCTCACATTTGAATCGTAGGGCGGGAATTAAGCAAACAATTCAATGATTAAAGATGTCCGATTCTGTTAATAAGGAACCATTTTGTAGGCGTTTATTATTTTATTATTTTAATTAATTTGTTTGTTAGTACGCAACGCAACCAGAGTGTTGCTTGTAGTAAAGGTTTTTGATTGATAAAGTTATTATCGAGAAGGGGATTACGTGACTGTGTTACCAAAAAAAGGAATCGCCGTGTAAGAGGATGACAAAAAATCTATTGTGGAATACGCACGTTGGAGCCGTGTTCAGTCATGGTACGGTAAGATTCAACTGCGCAGCCGTTAGTGAACAAAAGGGGATTAAATTTGGTGGCTGGCATACGTAACCATGAAATAAGTATAAGTATGTAACGGTTTATTTTCTCCATTACAAAGTAGCCAATATTTACTTGTTGGAAAATGCTCGAAATATAAATAAATAGATGGCTCTACCTATTGTAGCCGTAATTTTTGATTGTCGATTGTCGACCTTTTCCTTTTTTCTTTTGTGAGCAGAACAGCTGAGGCGGTATTTAGAACGCATGGAATTTTAATCGCTATCATCCATATTTTATTAATTTCTGGCAATTGGATTTATTAAATTAGGGATTCTGGAACAATTAGTTAACGGATTCACCTAAAAACTCCGTAGTGAGGATATAATTGCGTTTTTTCTGTCTTAACGTAAGTACCTTTTTTGGTTAATTTCCTGGGATCTGGTTTGTATGGGGCTGCAAATTATAGTTTGTAATTATCTTAGGGGTCTCCTATGCTGCACTGCAATTATGACTTACCTTACACTTAGCAGTTCTGGGAAAAATTATAAGCAGCGACATCTAACTTTCATGTCCAATGTGACGAACCTTTTTGCGCGACTTTTAAATCTCGGATGGTACGAATAGGGCTCCTACGTTGTGTTACACTGCTATCGGTTTTCTATGTTTTGGGACTAAGATACCATCGAGAAAGGAATTGAATACAACTATACGAGTTTTCCAAAGAGACAGGAATCACGAAATTTTGTTATGTACGAAACTTGATTGTAGCAAACCAAGACCAAAAATAAAAAATTAGGTAGCCGAGGTAAGTGCAGTTAACCGAATTAATAAGAACGAATTGTAAATGACATAATAAATACAAATTGAAGAGCAATATTCCTTAATTTAAGATAAGGGTAAATTAAAAGCATCTGATGCAGTGAAAGTTACACAAATATAACTCAGGTGATAAATCGCATGGACCTAAAGAACATCAAATGGGCATGGCTCTGCTCCAACATCGTGTTGATGAATAAAATGAGTATAATAATGGCATCACCACATGCATATCGATACCATCCAATGACACACTCCTAGGTAACGCTAAAAAAACAATGGCGGGGCACGCACTTGCCGTAGGTATATCTTCGTCTAACTACCGTTCTTGCTGTTAGGTGTGTTGCCTAACCAAATGGGTATGTCACTACAAATTGGAACACTTTGTATTTAATCAAATAAAATTTAACGATCTGAGTACATTTACAAATATTTAATCATTTATATCGTCCATGTTTTTTATCAAGTTTTCTCCTTCGAAAATATAAATTGGAAAAAAAGTATTATATTGACATAAACAAATTACATACATAGAATTTTTCTGGTTTTATTGAAATCTAATTTTGTTTTTTAGCTTAACACTAGTTATAGGCTACGAATGATGTATCAAATACAATTAAAGTGGTCTGAAACCTGCAAAAAGAAATTCAAGAAAATTATTATACAACTTTCATCGTCGTAGTCAGAAATAACAGAGGTAATAATAAGGCAATTACGAGTCGCTTTACTGCAAACGACAATTACCAGAAAAATGCGACTATAAAAGCGAGATACGCATCGTTGACGTACGTCCGGTATGCGAAACATATGCCATGAACATCCAAAAGCCTCGAGGAATCGATGGCCGGTTCTAGTCCTAATGGCCGCGCTTCATCCCTCAAAATGATCGCTTCGTGGCTGGAATCGCAAGAGCTTGGAAATGTTACTAATGTCCTGCCACGTTTTTATAGTACGTGTATTGGAATCCCGGGTGGATCTAAAACATATAACAATCATCGTAATGCGCACAAAAATTCTAGTCGTCTATT